GAAGGCGCCGGTGACCGAAACACCGACGATCCCAATTCCTGATGTTACTGATGTTCCTCCGGCGCTAAGGGAACACGTGCTTATCCCGGGGGCAAAAATCATGGATTCCAACTTCCAAGTCTCGGATATTTCTGAAGCCGAGATTGGGACTATGTTGAAACTTTCCCCTCATTTCTCCCTCATCTTCCACGCTCTATATGAGTCTTTTCTCGAGCCGCATTGGATCACCGTTGCCCAGTCTTCACTGGTTTATCGTTAGCGCAAGCAGATCTCTTTCCAGATTTACGTAAGCCTCGATCGAGCTGTCTTTTTCTTTTTGTTGATTTCGTCCTCTGTATCTTTATTTTCTGACCTCCAATTTTTCAGGGCCTAGTCCTTGCCATTCTCAACCTTATTGATCTAGTCAAGGTTGAAGAACGTGATAAGGCGATGGACAGCGTGGAAGTCAAGCTTAACTCTCTTCTTGACGATGCCAAGAATAAGTGCTTGTTTGCCGTCGAGGAGAGGGATGTGGCCATGGCCCAACTGAGGAGTTTGGAAAGTGAACTGGCCAAGATGTCAAACCTTCAAAAGGAGTTGGCCAATTTAACTACTGCGGTCGCGGATCTTACAAAGCGGGCAGAAATCTCTGAGAAGAAGTCAGCCGAAGCTACCGAGGCGGTGAAGTTTTGCTGAAGGAAAAGCTGAGGGGAAGAAGGAAGCCGAAGCCGAGGCTGCATCAATGTTTAATGCCAAGCGTGTGGAGATCATTGAGGAGTTCAAAGCTTCTCCGGAGCTCATCGACATTCGTACCAAGGATTTTCATTCTCCTGGTCAACAAATCATCGATCTGATAAAACAAGAGCATCCTGAGTGGGATTTGAGCTTTCTTTATGTTGCTCCTCCTTCTGCTGATGATGACAATTCTTCCCCGCTTGGCGATGGTGATAACTCAGCGGCTGGCGGCGAGGCCTAAAGCTTTCTTCTTTTTTTTTTTGTGGACTGCTACCTGTAATTTATATAATATTGGACTTCTTTTTATTTCAATCATTTTTTGAAGACAATAGATTTCATATTTGCTCATTATTTCTCCTTAGAGGAGTAATCATTTTCACTCCTTAGGGTCGTCACCTTAGTAAATTTCTTAGAATTTTGCTAAGTGTTCGCCTCTCCTCCTTAAAGGAGTCTCCAATTTTGCCCCTTGGGGTCGTTGTCTTAGAAAATTTTGTAAAATTTTCTAAGTTTTTCCTCGCCTCTCCTGCTTGGAAGAGTTGGCGTTAGCTTTGCCCCTTAGGGTCGCCGCCTTAGAAAATTTCATAAAATTTTCTAAGTTTTTCCTCGCCTCTACTCCTTAGAAGAGTCGGCGTCAGCTTTGCCCCTTAGGGTCGTCGCCTTAGAAAATTTTGTAAAATTTTCTAAGTTTTTCCTCGCCTCTCCTCCTTGGAAGAGTCGGCGTTAGCTTTGCCCCTTGGGGTCATCGAAATATTCTAAGTTTTTCCTCGCCTCTCTTCCTTGAAAGAGTCGGCGTTAGCTTTGCCCCTTGGGGTCGTCGCCTTAGAAAATTTCATAAAATTTTCTAAGTTTTTCCAATGATCCGTAGATCCCTTACTGCCCCCTTGTCTGTTTAATATACCTTGGTTTTTTAAGCAGACAAGTTTATTCGAGGGGTGAATTCTTCTTACTTTTGGACAATATTTCTAAAAACTCATCAATTTATTTAAATTGCCAAAAATATAACTAAGATGTGTTTAAAAAATTACATACATTATTGATAGTACAACTTTAGCTGTTCTACATTCTATGGATGTTGAATCTTCTTGCCGGAGAGGCTTTCAAAATGTAGGTGCCAGGACGCAACACTTCTCTTATTCGGTAGGGTCCTTCCCACGTTAGGCCCAGAGGACTAGTATTTTTGGATTTTGTACTTTGTGTTACCCTTTTCAATACTAGGTCTCTTGGGATGAACCTTCGTTATTTGACTTCTTTGTTGTAATATTGTGCTGCCCTCTGCTGATAGGCGGCAAGACGTAGTTGGGAGTCGAGTCTCTTTTCTTTCAACAAGTCGAGTTCTCTATTCATGCCTTATGTATTACCGTCGTCGTTGTAGACTACAGTTCTTAGAGTCGGCGTCTCAATTTCTACAGGCAATACTACCTCGACACCATACGCCATGGAGAAGGGCATTTCGCCCGTGGTACTTCGGCTCGTCGTTCTGCATGCCCACAAGACCTTGGGAAGTTCCTCGGCCCATTTTCCCTTTAGATCGTCGAGCTTCTTCTTTAGGGAATACCTTAATAATTTATTGACTGCTTCGACTTGCCCATTAGATTGTGGATATATCGGCGCTGAGAAGTCCTTTCGAATGCCCAAGCTGTGGCAGAATCTTTGTGTTGAAGCATTATCGAACTGTTTCCCATTGTCAGACACTATCGAGTGGGGGACCCCGAACCTGCACACAACGTTGTTCCACATGAAATTGGTGCAGGTTGCTTCCGTGGTTGTAGTTAGAGCCTTTGCCTCTGCCCACTTTGTATAGTAGTCTATTATGACGATGGCAAACTTAAAGCCTCCAGGTGCAAGGTGTAATGGCCAGATTAAGTCAACCCCCCATTTGGCGAAAGGCCATGGACTGAGAATGGAGGTTAGGTTTTCTGGGGGTGCTCTAGGAATTGTGGCATATCTTTGGCACTTATCACAATGTCGAGCGTATTGGTATGCGTCCTTCTTAAGCATGGGCCAGTAGTACCCTTGCCTCAAAATCTTAAGAGCTAAAGAATGCCCCCATGTATGATTACCGCAGATTCCTTCGTGGATTTCTTGGAGGACCTTCTGGGCTTCGTTATTGTCCAGACACCGCTGTAAAGGTGTTGAATAGCCTCGCTGATAAAGTAAATCGTCGTACAATAAGTATCTGGCGGCTCTATACCTGATCCATCTGGCCTCATATTTATTATTTTGTAGTTTTGCATCCATCAGGTATTGGACGAGCGGCGTCATCCAACTTTTGCCTGTTTGGATGATTAATGTCTCAATTATTTCCTCAATGGTTAGCCGCTCCAGTTCTTCAATAGGAACGACCCCTAGTGCGTCGGAGTCTTTTGAAGATGCTAGCTTTGCCAGAGCGTCAGCGTTGGTATTTTCGGCTCGTGGTATCTGAAGTATCTCGTAGTTTTTAAACTTTACGAGTTTTTCCTTTACCTTCCTCAAGTACGCACCCATTTTCTCACCACGTGCTTGGTATTCTTCTTTCACTTGCCCGACGATCAATTGAGAGTCGCTGAAGATGCTGAGCCTTTCAATTTTTAAGTGATTGGCCAGTCGCAGCCCCACAATTAGCGCCTCGTATTCTGCCTCATTGTTCGATGCCTTAAATTTAAATCGAATCGCCGAGGTAATCTTGTGACCTTCTAGGCTGATCAACAAAATGCCGGCTCCTGACCCGTTATCGCTCGATGCTCCATCCACGTAGAGCTTCCATTCTGTCCTCTCGACTTCTGCTGGCGTGGCGGGGGCCGGTCTATGGGAGAATTCAGCCAGAAAATCGGCCAGCGCTTGGCGCTTGATCGCTGCTCTTGGTACATACTTAATGTCGAACTGGCTTAACTCCACCGAATATTTGAGAAGTTGACCAAAAGTTTCGGGATTTTGCAGCGCCTATCTCAACGGGTGATTTGTGAGAACCCGTATTGTGTGAAATTGAAAATAATGTCGAAGCTTTCTCAAGGCTACCATCAAGGCGAGGGCCAAGCGTTCCAATTTGGTATATCTTGACTCGGCATCGAGGAGTCTTTTTCTTACATAATAGATTGGCAACTGGACCCTTTCTTTTTCTCTTATTAGCACGGAGCTCACGGCGTGTTATGACACGGAGAGGTATAGGCTAAGCTCTTCGTCGGGGATGGGCTTTGACAGGATTAGGGGCTTGCCCAAGTGCTCCTTCAATTTCTGGAAGACCTCTTCACATTGTGGTGTCCATTCATAGTGCCTACTCCCTTTCAAAGCATCGAAGAAGGGGACGCACTTATCCGTCACTTTTGATATAAATCTGTTTAGAGCGACAACGCACCCTGTCAACCTTTGTACCTCTTTCAGTTTAGTTGGGGATCACATATCCTGCAGGGCTTTAATCTTTTCAGGGTTAGCTTCTATCCCCCAGTTACTAACCATGAAACCAAGGAATTTCCCTTATCCAACTCCAAAGGCGCATTTTCAGAGGTTCAGTTTCATGTGGTATTTTCTCAATATACCAAACATTTCACCCAAATGGTCGACGTGTTGAGTGGCCCTGGTACTTTTCACAAACATATCGTCGACGTAGACCTCCATTGATTTTCGGAGCTGTTGAGCGAACATCTTATTCACGAGCCTTTGGTAGGTAGCCCCCGCATTCTTTAGGCCAAAAGGCATTACCTTGTAGCAGTAGAGGCCCCTGTTAGTTATGAAGGATGTGTGCTCCTTGTCGGCTGGATGCATGGGGATCTAGTTGTACCCGGAGTATGCATCCATAAAACTCGGCATTTCATGTCCTGCTGTGGCGTCGACCATTTGGTCTATCCGAGGGAGTGGAAAACCATCCTTTGGGCAGGCTTTGTTGAGGTCGCTAAAATCGACGCATGTTCTCCAACTTCCGTTAGGCTTGACTACCAACACGGGGTTTGAGACCCATCGCGGGTAATGGGCCTTTCTGATGAACCCATTGTTGATAAATTTTTTGACCTCTTCTTTTAGTGCCTCGTATCTCTCTGGGTTCATCGGTCGACGCTTCTGGCGCTTGGGGGGATATGAGGGGTCAATGTTTAGAAAATGGCATATGACCTCCGAGTCGATCCCCTCCATATCAGCGTGGTTCCAGGCGAAGACATCCAGGTTTTTCTTGAGGAAGCCCTCGACCTCAACCCTAAGTGATAGGGTTAGGTCTGAGACTACTTTCAGTACTTTGGTTGGTTCATCCTCGTCAACTTGGATCTCCACCAACTCCTCGGCGGGTTGAGACCATGTGACCTCCTATTGGATCCTGGGATCTATGTCTTCGACGGTGCTTTGATAAACCATCCTGGCCTCCTGCTTCCCGACTGGTCATATCTGCACAGGGCATCGAAGTATGCAACCCTAGCCTCATACTGGTTGCTCTTCATTTCGCCCATGCCATTTGGGGTAGGGAATTTAACTTTTTGGTGGTAAATGGAGGTGATTGCCCTCAGCTCCTGGAGGGTTAGCCTTCCAATCATGGCATTGTACTGGGAGCCCCCCCTTATTACCACAAAGTTAGCCATTGTGGTGGCCTGTCGAGTTTTCTCCCCTACAGTTATGGGCAACCGGATTGTCCCCCGAGGGATGACGGAGTCCCCAGTAAAGCCGTACAACGGCCTGGAGGTCTTTTCTAGCTGCTCCTTTGGAATCCCCATCTTTTCCAGGCAGTCGGAGTATAGGAGGTCTACCAAGCTCCCATTGTCCACTAGAATCCGGCACACATAATGGTTCCCGATCATGGCTTCTACCACCAACGCGTCGTTGTGGGGGAAGTGAACTCCGTTGGCATCATCCTCATTAAACGCCACGTCGGTGCTCCTGAATCTTAGTGTTTTTGCAGCGAAGACACTCCAGAACCTTTCCTGGTAAACCCCTCTGGCCTCGTGGGCGTAGTCCTTCTGAGATCTCCTTGAGTCCCCTCCTATATAGGGGCCGCCGAGGACAATTCGTATGATGCCGACGGGTTCTCGGTCCTCGGGTCGATGGTTCTCCTCTCGACGTCGACCGTCATTCTGGCCACCGTGGCCATCGTTTCTAGGTCTCTGCTCGGCTTTGAACTCTTGCAGCCTCCCCTCGCGGATTACTCTCTCGATCTCATCTTTAAGATCGGCGCAATCGTTGGTGTGGTGGCCGACGTCACCGTGGAACCTGCAGTATTTTTTCTGGTTCCTTCAGCCGGGGTCAGACCTCATTGGCTTTGGGCGGCGCAATAGATTCCCGCGGCCGACCTGATTGAACACTTCCTCGGATCCTACTGTTAATTCATGGTAGGAATCGTACCTTTGAAACGGTCGAGGCTTACGGTTCTCCTCTTGCCTCGGCTTCTTGGCTTCTGGAGTGTTCGACGTCGAAGCGGGCTGCTTGTCCCCGCTTCCTCCACCTCGTCGCTTCTTTCCATCCTGATTTGCTGGCATCGACCCTTGTTCGGTCCCCTTTTTTTTATTGGACCTGTGCTCAGGGTCGTTCGCATCCGCTTCCTCGGCATTTATGTAGCCTTACGCTCGTGCAAGGAATTCCTTATAGCTGGACGGGGGCTTTCGGTTTAGCTCTCTCTTGAAGGGGGTAATTTTCTTCATGCTAGACAATGCTCTCATCAAGGCCTCCCGGTCGGTTATGTCCATCGTGGCGGTGACAGCTTCCCCATATCTTGCAAGCCATTCTCTCAACGACTCGTTTGGCTTCTGGTATATCGTCGTGAGATTCTGCTTTGGGGGGACATATTTTTTAACCCCTATGAACTGGAGGGAAAACGCTTCCTTCAACTCATCCCAGCTTGAGATCGAGTTTGGCTTCAGCGTCCGAAACCATCTTCGGGCAGAGTCCGTTAAATGGTTCCGGAAGGCTCGGCACATAATCTCCTCGGCATACCCATGTAAGAGCATGTGCCCTGCGTACATCTACAAGTGATCGTCGGGATCCCCTCGACCATCATATGGAGGGATCGACGGTGACCTGTATTTATCGGGGAAAGGTGGCGCCATTATTTCTGCGGTAAATGGAAGGTCGTGTGTGCGGCTAAGCGTGATGTCGACGTTTACCACCTCGGCCACTCACCCTATGTTCTTTTTTAGGCCGGCGACGTCGCCCGTGAGTTTTTGCTCTAGGTTGGCCATACGTTCCATAATGGCGCGCGCTTCTTCTGCCGAGATGGCTGAGCCAGCTACTCTCGATGCCTCTGCCCTTTGGATGTTGGGTCTGCCCCTTGCCTGCCCGCTTGTACTGACCCTGAGTCTCCCGGTGGGTTTCCTCCTGGGTTCTGGGGTAGTACCTCGGGGTTCCCCGGGCCTTTCGCTATCCGGTCCTCGGGAGCCCGGAGCTCGACGGCCCTTAGACGGCTGCCGGAGGATTGGGAAGGTCGAGGCCTAGGATGGCCTCTATGATTTTCACTGTCCCCGATTCCTGCTAGGTCATGTTGGCGGTCACCAGGGTTGTGGTTTTCAGCCATGGTAGCTCCCAACGGCCTCGGGGCGTCTTCTAGAGGTGGCATAGAGTTCCTTCCGTCTAAGCGCTCGACTACGGCCATTAGTCCATGTACCAGGTCGGTTAGAGTGGTTAGTTAGGCCTGTATTTGTACAGGGTCCGGCCGCGGCATGTCTGGGGGCGGGACTTCATTTCTGACTGGAGGTGGACCTTCCTTCATCCCGTCATTTCTTCTTCTTGGAGGCATGCTTGCTGACTATGTTGTTGTTGGGGGTCAAACGCATGAACCAGAGATTCTGGGTTCGCTCCCCAGCAGAGTCGCCAATTGTTGACGGTGAAATCTCGTCAACAGAAATAGGCCGGGTCACCTCTGGGTATCCCGTTAGATTTCCGGCTTGATATTGACTAGATACTCAATTTATGCAATAAAGTGTTTGTTGTATTTTTAGAATGGTGAGCAACCTGAGAAAATATGCTTGAAGTATAAGAACACACGAAATTTATAGTGGTTCACTCTGTTAATGAAGAGCTACATCCACTGTAGTTTTATATTCCTTTTGAGATTGTTACAATTTACATCAACTGTTGTTCTCTCGTTTTTTCTCTCTCAGGAAGCGAACTCTCTTCTTGTATGGGCTTTGCCCCTTTTATAGCCGAGCTTCCTTCATTGGGTGGGTCTCCTTTGTAGGCAGAAGCACTCAAGTGGTCTGCCTTTCTAGGCCCAGACCGTAGCCCACTAATCACTTTGTGAACTGTTCACTCAGTCAATTAGTCTTCTATTACGGCTCTATGCGTACATGTAACCATTTTCTGTCCCCCGTAGGGCGGTTTAAGGGTTTGTAATTAATGCCTGCACTGCAGACATCTCCCATTTCTGTACGCCACTTACGATGTTAGGCTTTCCCCTTTTGGGGTATTCCTCTCGCCGTATCTGTTTGCTCAGCCTAGTTGTCTTTCTTGGCAATTGATTTTCTCCCGAAGGATTTCCGTCGTAAGGTCGACGATACGACCTGTCGTCGTCATGAGGAGTCAGCGTCCTAAGTTGGGCTTCCTTTGCAGCAAAAGGAAATGGAGTCCCCAGCGTCGAGGGTTGTTGTCTTTTTGAAGAAAAGTAAGGTCACGTGTCACACTGTTATTCTTACACGCGTGATTCATATTTTCCCACACAATATATAT